TTCCTCCCTTCCCTGACTGTGTCTCAGGACTGCTGATCCCGCCCTTGTGCTATTGTAATTAATGTTCAGGTTCCCCTTATGAGTGAAAACATGTGGTATTTGGTTCTTTGTTTCTGTGGTAGATCCTTAAGAACTATTGTCTCCAACACCATCCAATTTGCTGAGAAAGTCCATGATTTAGTCCTTCTTTGTGGTTGCATAATATTCCATTATGTATATGTACGACATTTTTTTTATCCAGTCTACTTTCAGTGGGTGGCAGAGTTGGTTCCATGTTTTTGCTATTGTGAATGTGAGTGTGCAGGTGTCTTTTATAGAACGATTTGTGTTCCTCCGAGGAAGGTCAATTTCTAGTTCCTTTAAATATTGCCACACTATTTTCCATAGGGTTTGGACTAGTTTGCGTACCTACCAACAGTATAGGAGTGTCCCCTTTTCTCCTGGTCAGTGCCAGCATCTATTATTTTTTGATTGATTGTCTCTTTACTCTCTTGTTGGTTTCTTTTGCTTTGCAAAATCTTTTCGGTTTGATGAAGTCCCACTTGTCTATCTTATCTTTTATGGCATATGCTTTTGGGGATCTGATCAAGAATTGGTTGCCTACTCCAGTGTGCATAAGGATGTTGCCTGCATTTTCTTCTAAGATTATAAGCATCTTTTTTTTTATGAAAGAAGGGAAATGTTAAAATGGCAAAAACTGTGTATTTCTTTATAAGGCACTGTAAAATAAATGAAGGCATGATGATGAGCCAGAATCATCATCATGTTTCTCGTAGTGTCACTACATTTCTTGGAAAGTGCAAATGCTCCTTCACTTAAACTTCTAATGAAGATATCCTTCTATCCATGCCTTACCCTCTACTTATACCTCTTTCTAACAAGATACCATCACCTTTCTAAGGTAAAATCCTATGCTTAATGTAATATTTCTTTATTATTATTTTTTTTCTGAGTTGGAATCTTACTCTGTCGCCCAGACTGGAGTGCAGTGGCTGCTCCTGGCCACCGCAGCCTCGACCCGCTGGGCTCCGGCGATCCTTCCGCCTCAGCCTTCCAAGTAGCTGGAACTACAGGCGTGCGCTACCACGCCCGGCTGATTTTTTTGATTTGTTATAGAGATGAGGTCTCGCTAAGTTGCCCAGGTGGGTCTCGAACCCGCGGGCTCAGGCAATCCACTCACCTCAGCCTCCCAAAGCACACGATTACAGGCTGAGCCACCAAGCCTGGCTATATTTCTTTATTTAATGTCTTGTATTTTTACTAGAGTTGTTACAGTTTTACTAGTGCTCTGGTGACAAATGTGTAGCTTTTAAGTAATCTGCCCTTTGACCTTATTTTCTCCATAAATCCTGTTAGTTTTGGTGTCGTTTTTTGGAAAGAGTGTTTTTTTCATACATTCATATATTACATTACAGCACAGATGCCTCTACAGGCAGTTTCTCAATTCTAGTGCGGACAACTTTTTTCTTTTGTTTTTTAGTATTGTTTTTGGTTTTTTCTCCTTATAAAGATGTGTCTGTTATTTTAGAATTTCCTCTTCTAGCATTGTTGAAAAATATAGCTACTAGTAGGACGTGGTGTTTAATCAATTCTCCAGATAATGTTTAGGGTTATACCCTGATCATATTTAGTAGTTTTTCATGTGGCTCATAGTCCTGTTGAACGTTACTTTGCATAATTGTTTCTCATTTTTCTTGTTTTTGTGTGAATTCTGAAAGAAAGGGGAAATACACAGTGGCAGACACTTTTAACTACTAGCCCAGTATCTATTCCACCCATCTTTCTTGCTGACAAAATGTTGGTTAGTCATGCCTAAATAAATTATTTTCCAGTCTTCTATGTATTAGAGTTAACCTTGCAACATAGTTCTTGCCAAGGAGAAATAAGCATATTTTTTGTAGGATTTCTGGGGAAGCTTCTAATTTCCTGATAAAATAGGCCAGATGAATTTA